TTGTTGTTGTTATATAGCTTCCTATTCATTACCTGACATTTGGATCCTATGAGGTGATGTTGCCATTCATCCAGTGCAGTCACAACAGCAAGCATTTCTTTGTCATAGATTTCATAGTTTTGTTTAGCGGGAGTGAGGGCTTTTGAGAGGAATGCAATGGGTCTGAATTTATTGTCCTATTTTTGGGATAAGACATCTCCTACAGCAAATTCAGAGGCATCTAATTCTAGTTTGGGTCATTGTTGTTTGGAATAGCAAGAATAGAAGTGGTGGTGAGCACTTTTTTCAAGGTTTCAAAAGATGTTACTTGTTGAAGCTTCCAACTCCAGTCAACCTTTCCAATGAGCGTGGTGAGTGGTTTTTCAATCTTCCCATAGTCTTTGATGAATCTTTGGCAGAACTTGGAGAACCCTAAAAATAACTGGAGTTCTCTCTTATTCTTTGGTGTGGGCCATTCTGCCACCACTGCTACCTTTAATAGATCCATGCAAATGATATCTTTTGAGATAATCATGCCTAGGTACTTGACCTCTTTTTTCTCAAACTTGTATTTCTCTGGTTTAAGGTACAAGTGGTTCTGTTGCAAGATATGTAAAAGTTGGGTAACAATTTGACAATGTTCCTCAAGAGTCTCTATGAATATCATGATGTTGTCCATCCAGGTATACAATAACTTGCCCATCTGTGATTAATTCTCAAAGTAGTTGATCCATCATTGTTTGGAATTTGGCAAGGGAATTGATAAGTCTGAAAGCAGCTTTATGTTTATCACCATCTTTGATGCATATATTATTGTATCCCCATTACACGTCTATTTTGTAAAGTAATTGGTGTCTTTGAGTTCATCAATGAGTTTGGATATGAGGGGAAGGGTGTATCAATTCTTTGTGGTGAGTTTATTCAGTTTGCAATAGTCTTGGACTAGGCATAATGAACTGTATTTCTTTTAGAAGAATGGTGAAGTGTAAGGTGACTTGGATACCTGGATGTATCCACTCTTTAGGTTCTCATCTAAAAATTCATCTAAATGGTGGTGTTTGTCTCTGCTAAGAGGGTACATTTTGCAGTCAAGACCATTAGCTTCTGCTGATAAATCGGCAATGAAGTGGATTGAAAGAGGTGACATCAGATGTGGAGGAGGCTCAAGGAGGTCAAGTAAAAGGAGTGTAGAAGTGACAAAAAGGTTGACTATGGTAGGGATCCAAAAATGACTCTCTGGTCAGAAGAGAAACAAGGGAAGAAGGCCCATGGTGAAGCTAAGTAAGGGAAGGGGAGTAAGGGAAACAATGAAAGTGAGGGTGCAATGTGTAGCCAGTGGCAACGCAAAATATTGCCAAAATGCCAAAATGCAAAAAGAACCGAATAGAAAGCAAAGGTAGGTGCAACTTGATTGCCTAATAGAGGTGGGTACTGATTAGCCACAAGTACAAAAAAGTCAATATTAATTACTATTCCACGTTGTCAATGATGAAAACTGTTGTTAGAAAACCACACACAAAAAAAAACTAACACACAATCCTCCCAGATTCCACGGACCTTGTGTATGGGCTTTGCCTCCTAGAACAGTGGGTGCTCTAGTTGTTTGTGGGGTGGTATGTATGACAATCCTTCAAAGTCAAACCCAGAGATGTATGGGTGTGTGTTTTGAGGAGGAGGAATAGTTGGAAGATAAAAATAGGGGCTTTGTGATGAGTTTGGACAAGCACTACCTTGCTAATTGTAGCATAAGGTAGGTTTGAGAATGACAACATAACGAGGTTCCCAGTGATAGCAGGCTCCTGATGCACAAACTGTAGTGCTCAGAAGGACTCTATTCAAAAGGGATGATAATGATTTCAAAAGTGACGAGTGATGATGACAGCAGATAACAGTGGTAGCAGTGGGAAGTGATTTCTTCTTGTTTTTTTACAAGGTAAAATACAGGGGTTTATATAGTAAAAGAAAGATAGGCTATGCACAGTATAGCTGTGCAAGAAGAATGACAAAGAATATGAAGGAAGGAATGTACGCTGACAAATCCTGCACAGGTAGTACATGATAAGATCATCAAAATAAGGAAAAGAAAGGGATAGAACAATGAATGCTGTGTAAGTAATGTCACAGGTTTGTACAGCCATAAAGATAAAGTAAAGTCTAATAGCAGAAAGAGAAAGAAATCATGATGTCATGGGAAGATGCAGTAAAAAAAGGGCAAGGCAAAACAATATCAGTATCAACACAGTTCCTTTATTGTCTGTTAGGCATTCTAAAAAAGAATGTTCTGCTAAAAAAACAAAAAAACTGGAGCCACTGGTCCACCACCTAGTCCAAATCCAACAGGTCCATGGCCTTACCAATGGACTGGTTGTATTGGACCACCTGGTCAAACAAGGGAGGGAGGGGAGTAGTTCCAATCTGGAACAAATGTGTCCCAGGCAGCGTGTGGTAAGTGTAGCTGTAGCAAAGATGATGGACAAAGGATAAATGTACCCAAGTGAATGGGACAGCAATGTACATAGGCAATGCAAGGGGATGAACCTTCTCCAGCTTGAAAACTACCCACCCAAGCTCCAACCAGGCAAGACGAGCGACCAATGATTTGATAGTATACAATGGAAGATCGATGTCATGAAGATGGACCTGTTGCCCAATTTGGACTGGCCGCCGGGGCTTTGCTGATATCAGCAGGGCCATGTGGTGGTTTATGGATTGGCAACAAAAGTGGATAGAGGGTGGTGACATCAGGTATGGTGGGGGAGCAATGAAAACAAGTAGGAGGAGGGTTGAGGTGACAAGGAAATGGACTAGAATAGGAATCCAGAAGTGACCGTTGGGTGAGAATAAAAAAGAGAGTAAGGGACCTATGGTGGGGCAAGGCAAAGGAATGGGAGTAAGGGAAATGATGAAGGTGAGGGCGCAATGCAATGTGTAGCCAGTGGCGATGCAAAAATTTGCCAAAATGCCAAAACACGGAAAGTACTGAATGGAAAGCAAAGGTGAGCACAACTGGATTGCCTAATAGAGGTGGTGCTGATCAGCCACAAGTTTGAAAAAGGCAATATTAATTACTATTCCACGTGGCACTGTGCCTGTGTGGTGCAAAGGCGAGTCTTTGAATATTTTCTTTGTTTCTGACACCTGTCCATGCTACCAATCAACTTTGGCGCATGACACTGGATTTAGAAGTTATGAGATAGTTGCACGTCAAACGTCAAATATAAATGGTGCCTAAAAAGGTGAGAGACAAGAAGAGGTTTTTGATGAGCAGACTCTGATTCAGCTGAGTGGTCTAAGACAGGCACCGTGTGACCCAGCTGGGTTGTCTAACATGGGCACCCTGTAATGTACTGACCCAGCCAGGTCTTGTAGGATGGGCACAATAGTATGATGTCTAATATGGCCTGGCTGGTACACTCCATTGGCCCCATCTATAAAATAAGATTATCAGGTAATAATGCCCTGTCTAAGACAGGCAATTATAACTATATGGGCCAGGCAGTCAATACGCAAGTTCAAGGTTTCCTCAAATTGTCCATGTCCCTATGGAAAGTTGGAAGGAGACACTCACACCACTTCTCCACAAGTATACTATTTTGTACAAACAACTTGTGCCTAGTCTATCTAGACCACGACTTTTAGTAGCCATTTAAGAACGGAGCACCAGTTCTACTAACAAGAACAAGTAGTGTATCAAACTTTTGCAAGGATGTTTCGGTTAATCTTCAACTTCACCATCAAAGTCACAAGAGAACCAACAATGAGAGTGACCCCAGTAAAAACAATCATCCCACTAAACTTCCCTTTTTGCCTATTTAGAATTGCTCCACCAATTGGCCCTCCTACAAGTGCCCTGTACCGAAAATTGATTAGTTAAGCGAGTGTACGCGATCGGTGTGAACTCACAGAAACGACACCAGACTGTATGCCATGCCCATTCGAATCCCAATTTTCTCAATTTGGGAAATTTGAGCGATGCATGCTGATTGAAGGGCAAAAAATGCTCCAGAGAAAAACCCGAAGAAGACAGCATAACACATCAGGGCAGCTAGACTATGTGCGTGCATCCATAAAGCGAGACAAAAAATCCCAGAAATTGCAGTGAATGGTACAAGTAAATTGTACCTCCCAATGTAGTCAGCCATGAGGGCAGGAAGAATGCGTCCAATTACACTTCCAGCATTCATCACAGAGAGGAGATCAAACGAGAGAGCTTGGGATAGGCCATTATCTTGGCCATACTGAACGATGTAGAAGAAAGGGATGAATATGCCTGTGTCTCGAAGTCTTAGTGTGCACAAGTATATAATGCGCAGGAAAAAACAGACCAAGGCAACATATGCCACTACCTAGAGTAAACAGCATGAAGTTGGCGTCTTGTAAGGAGACGACATCGATCCACGGTCCTGGTTTGCGCTTAGGCAGGCGACTCGAAACCGTGAGTGTCGATACAATCCCACACGCCAAACAAACAAACGCAGATATTCTTACAGCCCAACCAAAACCCACTTCGTCGAAGAGCCGCTGTAGTAATATAGGGAAGACCACTCCACCTGAGAAGGGGGAAGGTCATGAGAGATGACAGCGAAACCTAGGGATTTCTCACCAGCACTAGAGCCGGCCACTGCTACTCCCATGGCGGTAGCCCTATACTTTCGAAAATGGGTAGCTGTAGCGCTCATAGAGGGGTAAAACCTTGTAGGAATGATTAGCATGATACGGCGAAACATGATGATTTTCGGAGACCGACATTAGGCCAAATCCGATGCCAAAAAGAATACCTTGGGCTAAGATGAATTCATAATACCGGCTGGCCAAAGAAGTCATCATGAGGCTGAGAGTCAGGATAACAGTACCGGAAGCCAGAAGCACGGTGGGTCCGTAGGCATCGAAAAGTCGCCCCACAAAACTGCCCTAAGAGTTCCGTACGTTCCGTACTCAGTCAATTCATGCCAAAGACGAGTATCATCGGTGGATCATCTCTTACAGAAAAAAAGAATACCCACAGCTGAAGGGAACCAATCCAGGAGATGTCGGAAGCCGAGTAAGACGATAGCTGGTTCACAGCATACCAAAGCTGGAAACTTCCGAATGCGATGGACTGGCCAAAGGCAGCAAAAAGGCTGAGGAATGCACCAAATATTGTCAGATAACCACGGACACCACCCTCCACAAACTTTGGTGCAGGAGGTTGGGCAACTTGAATGCTAGTGTCTGAGGAAAGTTTCTCTTGATCAGGCACCATTGTGAGGAAAGGGAAGGTATGTACGAAGGTGGGACCGTCAATGCGTCAAGCCAGTTCATAAATATTGATGCCACGTATATCGGAGAGAATGTGAACACCGATGCAACTCCCAGTGACCGTGACACGTATCTAGCCAGTCGGTGGTTAACTAGAAGGGCGAGTTTCGAACTTCGAGACGCGGCCGAATCAGCAGTCCCCATCGTGTCATTTGGGAGGCGATGTTCGAAGCGTCAATCGTCTGATGAGCTGAGACAGGAGTTCCAAAGTTGCTCCTCGCAGGCGGATCTGGCATATAAATAGATACTATGACAGCCAAGTGCCCCTCGGACATGTTGCTTGCCGAGGCTGCTGTTGACATGTTGACAGGCCTCGATGATCAGATCCGTCAGATCTGATGAGCTTGTATAATTACACACGGCAGGCTGCCATTGTCAGACGTCTGGTTCGCAGTAACTTATAAACGGGTAATATCTATCATGATGGCATGTCACTATGCTTCCTCAGAATCTGATCAAGAGGCTTCATTTCAATATGGAAGACGGACAGACTTCAGCGCTTCATATGACCTGTGACAGCACTTACTACTTACTAGCCTGAGAGCTCTGTGCATCGTGCCATTTGGAAGGCGATGTCCTTCGAGCGTTGGATGTCTGACACAGGAGTTCCAAAGTTGCTCTTCATCGATTCGCAAATGGATCTATATATGCCCAATACTATTCATCGGGCCCCTCCACACTGTTGACCATGTTAACGGACTCGATGATCAGATTATAATATGACGAGTTTGGACAATTGCATACTGCTATTGCCATTTCCTACTAAAACTGAGTCACGAAGTCAGCCTCAATGATAGTTGAGTACTTTTTAATACGCTGGCAAGACTGGTGACAGGTCCTGTGAAGCGTGACGGCAGTTACTAGTAGTTACTACTATTCCTGGACCCAGAGGTTCCAGGTTTCCATTTCGACATTGAAGTTTTTCTTCTTCCCAGAACTTTTATGCCTCTTATGTACCAATCCGCATGACCTTCTCATTTGTAAGATTGATACCGCCTCTTCAGTCTCTTTCCATTCAACATAGTGGCTTGCGTGATAGCAGACAGAGCTGACATACAATTTGTGGAGCACCTACAACTAAGTGCGGCAGAAACGGGGTATACAGCAATGATCGGACAATGTCAATTATCAGAGATACCTGCAAAAACTTTACCTCGCCATTTGGTACATCGTAGAGATGAATGCTAATGCTACGGTCACACCACAACAAGGGGACCAAAACGCAAAATAGCCGGGTCCAGGTCTGCCCTGGAGGGCCATGTTATACTACATATGTCAAACGATATATATGGTTTCCTTTCCTGTCAGGACACTATTGGTGCTCCACTGACTATTCCAAGTCGTTCTCGTCACACTGGATTCCAGGTTTGCACATAATTGCAACTGACAACCCACGCCGAGCATCATGCATCATGGCCGCCACTGATATCTCAATTGCATATTGGTACGTCCACCATCATGACTAAGATCACTGTCCTCATGGATGTCCAGCGCCTCTCCCTGCTGGCACACACAGAATGATGTGATAAAATGGTTCTTCGAAATCTAAGAATTTATAAAATCCTATTGATTGTAGCAAGTAAGAGTGCTACGTGACCTCCTTCCTCGTGGTATTCTCAATGGCGGAGGTATCCATCCTAGCAGCCAACATGGCCGCAATCTATGTCGAAAGCTTCTTATACGGCCTATTTTTCGTTCTTGCCTTAATCTCATTCTATATTCTTTCCCATCACCACCAAAGGAATGCTAACATTGGACCTCGGACTGTCCTGCGAAGGCCTATGTTCTTAGGAACGATCCTCCTGTTCATCGTTGTCACTACGGTCCGTTGACGGTGTACTCTTCTTTTGCTCAGGACAACTCACAGAGAATCTTTCTAATAACAGCACTGGATACTGACGTTTATTCGCTTTTTTCAAGGGTTCATCTACTTCCGGGGTGGTTCTTCTCCGTCCATCTTCTTCCATAGTGCCGTAGAATTAACAGAAATAATCCAAATTGGCTTTTTCATGGCGTCTCTGGTACTCTCGGATGCCCTGTTTGTAAGTTTTCAACAACAAGCAGCTGACATTAATTTTGGCTCATATTTCGAGCGCAGGTTTATCGCCTGTGGGTTATCTGGAGCCGTAATACATTAGTGATAATTTTTCCGCTCTGTAGCCTCGTTGGTCTCACAGGTACGCTGCACATAACACTGTCGATCCCGTAGGCTAATATAGTAAGTAATTAGTATGTGCTATAGGCATAACCTATCAGTTCACTCAGTACACCAGTGCTACAGAATCCACATACCTCCTTATTGCAGCTCGGTGGATTCTCAGTGACTGCGTCTTCACTCTGTGGTGTGTGTTGTTGTTTATACTGCGCGCACTTTGTTCTCACCCTCTATAGTACGAATGTGTACTGTACAGGTTACTACTAATCATGCATGTCCAAACGATTGCACGATGAGCTGATTGTTTCTATTTTTTTTAGTAATGATCTCATGGCGCATATGGGCTATTCACAGAGCACTGCCACCTCTAGGAAACAGAGGTCTCGGGGTTTGTTTCTAAATTTCTGTAGTGAGTATCCTCTGATATGGTCACTTACAGCCGGTAGTGGCTATATTTGTCGAGAGTGCGGTATTGTGCACGTACGTCCCTGAGATACATTTATATTTGCCTCGCTGTGTCTAATCTTATATTTTGTGGCCGTGTAGCGCATGGACAATCTTTTACTTTGCTACGTATGAGGCCGAGTCCAACCTTCACGACTTTGTTCAGGGCACATGGGGTACTATATCCGGTATTGCATTCATGCTCATCACCGTACGCGTAGGCTTGGGTTGGAGCAGTCAAACAGAGCAAAACATGACTATAACCCAACTGACAAGGCCCAAGTTTGCTGCCCAGTCGGATAGCTCAGCGACTCAATCGTATCCCATGCATGCGGTGCAGGTCAATATTCTACGAGAGGATGGTAAGAGCTCATGTGGGGAGACCAAACTTGACTATTCTATGAGCGGCAGTTCTGGGACTGTTTGATTGTAATTCCATACTTTCTGGCGTTGTACTCTATTTTCTTGGAGGTTCTAGAAATGATGATTCCTAAAGTGTTTTCAAGTTGATTGTCAAAGGGATGTCTGGTAGACACAAAAGGACTTGGCTATTTTCTTGGTTGAGCATGTAGAATAAACAAGCCATACCATTAGCATCTGAGTCACACCTTTTACTTAACACATTAGTAAGGCAGCTGCAAATGATCCTTGTTACTAGTTAGAAGACTTTACCTGTACTGCAGCTTTTCAGCAATAACTCTAGCACTCAGTATTGTTTTATCCTATTACAAAATGATGCTCAGCCTCTAGTATGATAACTCTCTACTGTTAATATTGTTGACATATATCACATAGCATTTATGAATTCCTATTATCATTTTATTCTGTATGATCCTCATCTACCAAAACTACTATCATAACATTGCCCTCCGGGCACACTCAGCACCTCTAATACTGTGGTATTGGATGTTATTGGAGAAATTATGTAATTGCCAGGAGAACCCACACCTTCAGCATGTGCATACCAGCCTTTGGTGCAAGTATCCAGTGCCATTTCCTGTGACAATTATGAAATTAGACCTGGTAACCCACGGTACCAGGAAAAATTCTGACTTCTGTCAAGAAATTTATGGTGATGCCCAGCCAAGTGCGTGCAAGTGTGGGCTAAGCGGGCTGCTAGCTACTTTGATGCAGTAGATGATGTACAGACCAACTGGAAAGTTACGGTGGTTGCTGTCACATCTGATGCTTTAGGTGAATCTAGGGCTGCTTGGAAGCAGCTTGTGCATCAGTTCCCATGGCTTGTGGCTCCGGATTGCTATACACATCAAGTCAGTACAGAGCTCAACACATGATAATATAAAAACTAATCAATCTACAGATAAATCATATTGTCAGTGACTATTTCAAGGCTACTGTGGCATCTACTTATAATGAACACACAAAGAAGGCTACAGAGTTAATAACATGGCTTTGGAGCAAAACTTTGCTGCTATCACTACTTTGAGACATCCAAGGAGCACTTAGCAGCATACATGCTTCTAAAAAGCAGCGTGTCTTAAGTGTCATCCGGGCTGTTATAACTAGATGGACAGCACATCTTTTGGCCTTTTGTTGTTTGCTTGAACTCAAATGGTCACTAGATATACTTGTGAAACAAAAAAATGACCGGCTTGCTGGCAAGAAAAAAATCCTTATTGGTGATGCTACTACTTGTGCAAAAGCTCAAGCAATGCTTGAGGTCATTGAATCACCTTTTTTTTGGCATACTTTAGCAAGGTCAGTGGTAGTCTGTGATAATGTTTCTTGGTTTCTAAGTGTAACTGCACAGGATTGTAAAACACATTGAGCCTTTTGTTACGATAACACATTTTTGGACCTTTAAATTTCATTCTCCTCTTTAACCTTTTACTGTAGTTTTCACACACTATGTCATGCAGCACTTTCTTTTTTGTTCAAACTCCACTTTCTCATGCCGTGCCGTGTTTTTTATTTTATTTTTAGCTACAAGTCTCTCACGCAGTGGAGCTGGTCACACAGGCTGCGCCCTCTGACATCATCAGCCATTGCTTTTATCAACTGTACAGTACATAAGTACAAACACTCTGTATTAGTATATATACCCCAATAGATCCAGAAGACTCCTCAGCGAGTCCTCCTGTTGTATACCCACAACTAACTTGGTCCTACCTAAGGGGTAACCACTCCCTCATCACTACCTTTATAGTTTGTTTTAGTGTGCACCAGAGTAACTAACTCTTGGTTGTTACATTAGGACTCGCTCTTTCTACTCTTTTGCACGTTGTGCAAACCCAGACCTCAGGGTTAAGAGGATATTATTATTATTTAGGAATATCCCGCATAGCAGATAGGTACGCTCCTAGCAACGGCCTTGTAGTGCTTTGGGAGAAGAGACAATAATTTTGATACGCGGCCCCCAGCGTGAAGGGGAGTACTTAGCTCAGCAGTTGGTGTGGAACCAATGTTGATTAGAATTTACATACAAATCTTCACTTTCTCTTTCCTCTGACTGGGCCGGGCACTTGCCTCCACCAGTCTGGAGAAGGGCTGACAGCTTAACAAGTGGGCCACCCCCTGACAACCGTTTAGACCAGGGTTTGAATACAATACCTTTTATATACATATTTCAAATATGATAATTTGGGTAGTCAGAGATTGAGATCCAATACTCAGCTGGGAAGAGGTAGATCCGCAGATAGCAAGCGGGGGCCCCCAGTTATGTTTTTTACTATACTTTACAAAGAGAACAATTTGACATGTCATCGCAAAATCCTGACATCAAGACTCTGTTACACGGCATGCGTGTATAGATTGTGGCATTAACCACGCAACTTGCCGAGCTACAGGCAGCCCCTCCTGCAGCAGCATCCACGGTTGAGAAAAAGTTTAACAAAAAAGTCGAAGCCGTCGCTGACCCCGGCGCCTTCAAAGGAGACCGGGCGCAATTCGCCAAATGGTGGATCAAGCTCCAAATTTGGGTCAAGGCAAACTGGGATGCGTTTGCCGACAATTTTGAGGTAGCCACTGCAGTGCTATCTTGACTAAAAGGACCTGTGGCAGGTTGATACGCCCAAGTTAGAATGCAGGAATGCGACACCACGGGAGTGTGGCCTGCCTGGGATGATCTCAAAGTGGAGATCAAAAAATATTTCAACCTCAAGCTGAGCGTGACTGGGCGCGTCAGCAGATCTGTACCTTCAAACAAGGGAACATGAGGACGGACAATTATGTAACCCGGTTCCTAGCCCTCTCCATCCAAGGAGGGCTTGGCAATAAACACGCAGTAGAGCTGCTGGAGCGCAATGTGAACCCCCACATTGCAGAACAGATCTACCTGCAGGATATGAGGCAGGACAACCTCTTCAACGCAGCCGAGGAGGTTCGTAAGATTAGTAGAGCCATGCAGCTCTATGCTATGCACCAAGGTGGCGGGTCCACCACCAAAAACAACTTTTCCCAGAGGCACCCTGGGTCATCAAACCAACATCAAAATCATTCTCACGGGTTCAAACCCTATGAATATTGGCGCGGTCTAGGGTGGACAGATGCGCAGATTCAAAGGGAACTGCTACATTTGCGGCCAAGAGGGACACATGTCCCGAGACTGTAGAAACGGGGTGCAGGCCGCCCAACAAAAAAATAACCAAGGGCGCCACGTGCGCCAATTAGAATCAGAAAAACCGGATGATCGGCTCAATTCATTGGCCGGTTGTTCTTACAATGAAATAAACCACAACAAGGTGGCCCCTGCTCCGGGGTGTTGCACGAGCAATAAAGGAAAGACGGGGGTGGCTCCCTAATTTGTAAATAGATTTTTGAATTTGTTATCTGAAGTACGTACTTGTATGCAACACTGCGACTGTGGATTTGTCTTGGACCATCCTGACAATACAGCTGCTTTGAGCGCTGATTCAGTGGGTCAAGATGATAGAGGAGTTGACACTGAAATTACTTATAAAGCCACCACTGTACCAGTGTGGCCCCAGCAAAACAAACACTAGGGTGCTTAATTCTGGTAAAAATAAAAATAAAAATATAGAAAATCCTCAAGTAGAAAAACATGTATCTTTCAATAATTCTTCTTTTTCTTTGGAGCCACTTCCCACAGAAATCCGAAGGCGTGTGTTGATGCGCACATATTTATTCCAAAAGGAGATCTGTTTAGATATTGGTGTGGAAAACCTTGCCCAGGGCATAGTACACCCAACCAGTGCACTGCTTGATTCAGGCCCTAACAGAATCTTCATAGATCAGGTCTGGGTGGAGCAAATTGGACTCCCCCTGGTAAAATTAGATGTGTCCATTCCCGTCTATAACATTGACGGTATGCTTAATGCGGGTGGCTGTATTACACACAAATATTCTTTTGTTGTCAAGTACCAAGGACACAGAGAATGAGTCACCGCCGAAGCTGCCCAACTAGGGAAGATTAATTTAATCTTAGGCTGGACCTGGCTGTTTAAACACAATCCTGAGATCAACTGGCAGACAGGGGTTGTCACATTGTCACGTTGCCCTCAGGAGTGTGATGACTTACGTAAACCAAGTCATGTCCGTCAAACTGAGCTTGATGAAAGGATAAACACTGGTCACGTTTATGCCAAGCTTAGATCTTTAGATAAGATTGAAGATGACAATGATGAGGTGAAACCTGAAGAGGAGATTAAGAGGCTGGTACCTCCCAAGTACCATGACTTCTGGAAAGTCTTTTCAAAACATCAATCAGAGCGCTTCCCAGAGGCTAAGCCTTGGGACCATGCTATAGATCTGAAGGACACGTTCAAACCTAGAAAGGGACACATGATTCCCCTCTCTGCTCCAGAAAGAGATGAGGTTTATAGCTTCATAGATAAACAGCTTAGGAAGGGTTACATCAGACCTTCCAAAAGCCCTATGACGTCCCCAGTGTTCTTCATTCCTAAAAAGGATGGAAAGAAGCATATGATTATGGACTATTGTTACTTGAATGAGTACACAGTTAAAAATGCAAATCCGCTGCCTTTGATCAGTCAGCTAGTAGACAACTTAGCTAATGCCAAGATCTTGACAAAGATAGATCTCAAATGGGGGTACAATAATGTACGCTTCAAAGAAGAAGATGCTTGGAAGGCCGCGTTCACGTGCCACTGAGGATCCTTCAAACCCCTTGTTATATTCTTCGGGTTGACCAATTCACCAGCGAACTTCCAGAGCATGATGAATGAGATCTTTGCAGATATGGAGAACTGTGTTATCATTTACATTGACAATTTATTTACAAGAAGCTTTTGATAAGCTTAAACAGGCATTTACAACAGCACCCATATTAGCATTTCCAGAATTAGACAAAGAGTTCCGGCTAGAACCCGACTCTTCTGATTTTGCTACTGGGGCTGTTTTGTCAATCAAATGCCCTGATGACCTTTGGAGGCCTTGTGCCTATTTATCGCATAGTTTGTTGCCTAGAGAGCACAACTATCAAATTTACAACAAAGAGATGCTGGCCATCATTAGAGCTTTAGAGCACTGGCAGCACTACTTAGAAGGCACTAGGCACCAGTTGAAATTTGGACCAATCATCAAA